AAAGATACGGCTTTTTATGCCGCAAAAAAACATAAATTGCGACACTCAAGGGAATCAAAATTAATAGGTTATTTTCCTTTGATCTGGAACTATAAAATTTGGCAAGTAATACCGTCTTATACTACAAGTACAGGAAAAAATCTGGAAACTATACATTTGTAATTAAATTCTGTAATCATTAACAGCCTTTGCTAGTCCATTGCTGGACATAGGCCTCTCCTTAGAAAGGAGGTTTTGGCCTACTATACCACGCTGGCCAGACGGTTTGGTATAGGGTTTGTTTCAAGTTTTCCTTCTCTCTGCAGTGCTGTTGTCCTGCGTAGTTTACTCCCTTAGTCGCCTCTTACGACACCCACGGGATGAATAGGGGTGGTGACACTCTGTATTCTTAATTCGTCACCACACGGATGAATCGGGAGTCCTGTAAATGTACCTAAAAACTCTCGGTGGGCGAGTCCGACTTGCACTTGACCGGCTTTTTTTGAAGTAGTTGATCCAGCCCGGCTTCGCTCATTTACATATACACTATATGTCAAGAATCAACATGTCACTATGTATGCTTATACATGTCCATAAACATACACAAAATGTTGTAATTGTGATAGACCTAAAACAATGTTTAGACGTTTCGTTTCTTTCCCGGCAGTAGCAAGTTTTAGATGTGGGTACGCGACCCGAACACCCAAATACGGTATTTATTTATGTATTCCATTTTGTGTATTAACTCAGTAGCAATTAAAAACTAAACGCTTTAATGAAATCAATCTGGTTATCCTACAAGGTTACCCTAATCAGTAATCATCATTTGTTATAAGATGTCAGATTATTAATTATGTTACAGTCTGTAAAGACTACATCAAGTTTTACTTGTCCAATATATCTGTTGACCTGAAGGTCAATTCTCGTAATAAACATTCGTTCCGATCTCAATCTCACAAATTTTAAAAAGGTAATCCCGTTGTAAGGTAGTTCAGTATTTCTGAGATTACCAGAATACTGAATGAACGTTCGGTCACAATATGATATACTCACATAACAGTCAAAGTCGGATATTTAATGGTATACTACGAGAATATCTTTTATAACATTTGTGATGATAGTGTGTGACAGTGGATTGGAAATAAATTTTGAACGAATTTTTAGTACGAGAATTGATCTTCTGTTGACCTGGCGGGATGCCTATATAATATATACCTTGATTGATGTTTCAAATAGGTAAAAAAACTAAAAAAATTGGTCGAATTTGACCACTAACCTATCTATAGTTTTTGAAAAATGAGAAAAAGTATTTTTTTTTTGTTGCGGAGATGTATGTCTCGCAGTTTATTAGCAGGGCTTACTCGAAATTGGCAAAGATGTGGCTTTTTCTGTCGTCTGTATACATTATAAATGAAGATGCTAAATAATGATTGAATGACAGCCTGTCTCCGGTTTACCACTGCCGCGTGAATTGGGAACATGAAAATATACCTAATTGACAACTAAAGCAAAGCTAATATGTTTCTTTTTTGTAATTTCTCAAAATAGATTTAATTGCAGTGGTTAAGTTGATATAAGCGAAAACTAGAAACTATTTAATCGCATCGTTGACATATTGCAGTCTGCATTTATTGTGATTAATAATATGTATGAATGGTGCCACTCGTAAATAACCCACTCACAATTAATTAAAGAATATGAAACATAGTATCTTCAGGCTTGAATTTTGAATATAAATATAAATGAAAACAAAATAAAAATTGTAAAAATATAAGAAAAATATTTTGTTTTTACTGCTGGAGAAGTATGCGTCGGTATATTATGGCCGGGGGTCCATAGACCCCTGACGCTGTTTTTTGTTTGTTACGCTTTCACGCCTAAAAAGCTAAACCGATTTTAAGTTCTTAACCCAGTAGAAAGCTACATGATCTGATGTAATTTGTGGAGATGTAATAATAAATACACACACACACACATACACACACACACACTATTGCAAATAAATACTCCGATCTGCATGATATGCAGATCGGCTTAGTAATCCCGATCTCAGATGTAATTTGTTTCGATAAAATATTTTTTATTATTATTATTGATTGTATAAATGGGATTGAATACAACATAAACATGTTTACATACCAAATGAAAAGCATTCCTATTTTACTAATGTCTTTATTGTACAGCTGATCTCGGCAAATGACAATAGCATATTGAACGGTTCTTGGACGAAGAATAGAATTGATACAAACTGAACTTAAGTTAATCCTTACATCTTATATCGAAAATCTTTGTCCATATATTACATAACAAATAAATTTATAACATAACATTTAAACGAATTATAAATAATAACATCACACATACGCGACCGTCTGATCCCAAACTAGGTAGAGCCTATACTATGGTAACCGGGCTGCTAATAAACATACTTATATTTTTTTTAAACATACATATTATAGATAAATAACAACACAGACACAAAAGACATGATCACAAAATTATTTGTACTAGGTGGGAATGGAAACCACGACCTATAGTTTAGCAGTCAGGACCACGAGCCACTTGACCAACAGGCCCTTCTGAAAATAGTATTACGTCTGAAAATGAATGTATCTGACATACTAATGTATTTCTATGGCTTTATTGTGGTGGCGACTGCCTCAATGGTGCAGTGGTCTCGTATGCGACTCCTGTACTGACGTCTCGGGGTCAATTCCCGAGACATACCAAATGTTTCTATAATGTGCAGATACTTGTTTTGGAGTTTGGGTGTGTCTGTCTGTCTTGTCTGTGTGACTGAATGACTTTTCGAATACAGTATTAAAAAAAACTAGCAAAAAAGCAAAAAAGCTTTTTGCTTTATTGCAAAACACTATAAAGATGTCAATTATTAAACATACTCGTACACGCAACATTTTATTAGTCATTATATCATATAATATTAAGTCATTGTGAAGAAATCTCTATGGTATCAACCTCAAAAGTGCACAAAGGTTTTTTATTAATCTGTCACATCTGAAACTAAAAAACCAAAAAGGACGAAACAGGAAGTTCTTTTTGATTTGGCAAATGAACGCGCGCTGTGTCAGTGAGTTGGCTGTAAAATGAATAGGCACAAGCCTATTCATTTTACAGCCAACTAACTCCACTAATAACAAATTGCTTGGTATATAGTTTCAAATTGTAAATGAAGAGACATAGATAAGAAAAAACTAGTCTATTTCTCATAAAAGTTAAAGATTATTATTTATTTTTTTAAATAAATTCGTACAAAATAGGCATTAAGTCACGTGACAGTATACACCAATCAGAAAGTGTTACGTCACGCCACGCACAACATCATTGTTGTAGTTGACGTTTTCATACATTGATATAATGTGTTGTTTAAACTCAATGTTTTCATACAACAGAGCAGGTTACTCCTTATTTTTAGAAAAAAGTTGACACTGGACACAGATGTAAACAGTTTTGTTTCGCAGACTGTGACGTTCTGCGTTTTCAAGGAAAATTTAAATTGTTTTTTTAATTACAAAATATGTAATGTAAATATCGCTTTTTCTTTAAAATATAGGAATAAAATAGACATTTGTTTTCAAATTGAGTCAACTAGCCTATTAGGTGAGATGTCTGATGTAACTCATCATACTTAAGCGACTACTGTAATGGTCGCTCTTTTATCTTATTTTGCATAAAGCAGAAAAGTGTTTTTAAGAATAAATTTAAAAATTAAAAGAACTTTTTGGAACAGGATTTCACGTTTTTACACTATTATGGAGTAAGCTACAGAGTAATTAAAATCTAGTTAAATTTTAAGTTTCTTGTTCCTTATGCATTCGTAAATCGTTAACATCTGTTAAAGATTTTCATCCGGTAAAACTTTGAGTACCCTTTTAGTTATCATAATTATAAAACATGGTGATTAAATTTAAGAAGAAATCTAAGTTGAGAAAGGTTAATTAGGTAGACATTAAAATTCGATTTAAAAAAAAACGGAATGATAACATTTAGAAATAAAAGTATGTAGGTTAGAATATTATTATATTAGATTTTTTATATAAAATTCTCGTGTCACAATGTTCGTTCCCGTACTCCTCCGAAACGGCTTGACCGATTCTCTTGAAATTTTGTGTGCACATCGGGTAGGTCTGAGAATCGGCCAACATCTATTTTTCATACCCCTAAATGGTAAGGGTGACCCATCCCCAATTTTTTTTGTTTTGCAATACAACGTTTGCCGGGTCAGCTAGTTTTTTACATAAAATATACACTTTAAATAGTTGCTGGTATTTTCGCAGCTACTTTTGATCCCCACACGAATATTTAGTCCAGGGGGTACTCATAGACTGTAATCAGTTGCTGCCCTGGTCTGTGACTTGTCTTGAGTCTTTTCAAAACCCAATTCATAGACAATACATGAAAACATAGACTTTAAGAGATGGTTATCGTTTTAATAAATAGTGTTTTCAAGTTTCTGTGCTATCAAACATTGCACTAAAAATAAAGGGAATTAATGTATCTCATTATTAAATATTATTTTTTAATTCACTCTTATTTCTGGCCACAACTGACCTACACTAATGATAATGACGTGTATCATTTATTGCCTATAAACAAAAAATGATAAACACAAAAGGTCAAACATCAAAATTTGATTAAGGTACTAAAAATACTTTTGAATTTATGAAATTTTCAAATACATATTTACTTTGGTTAAAAATTCTTTACGTTTTGAGTCTCAAGGGCCAACGCTGTGTTTTGAAAAGTTGTAAGAAGGTCAGAAGGGTTTAGATCAGGTACATGGGTATAAGATTTGGCGAGCCATTTCTAGATAAATGCATCAAGTACTTGCGCGTAGTACTGCATACTTTAATGCTTTTAAGTGCCTCCTGTGCTAGAACTTAATAGTTAATCTTAATGCAAATATACAATATATAATAATCTTATATTATTTTATACAATAAAAATAATAAGGTTAACAATTCTCACAAATGACATGAACACATATCACTTAAAATGTCAGATCATATCCTGCTGTTCATCTGTATCTCGTCTTGTTTCGTCGGAGAGGGTTGAGGCCCTTTCCGCGCGAGCTGCTCCGCCTCCTGGATCGTGTCCGGCAGGCGGGTGTTGAGGGTCTCTGGAGTGGTGAGCATGAGGACTCCAGCGATCAGGGCTGTCGAGCCGAACAGCACTGAGGGTAGCCAGGTTATATAAATTGCCTAAAACAAAATTTAAGTAGGTTTAACATATATCTTTTGAAACAGTCAAAACAATATTTCGCGCCAGCAATGGTTTTTGTGTCCCTTTTTTTTTTTTTTTTTTTTTTTTTTTCCGTGCGGAAATCCCCTCGGATACCACCTATCGGTGGCATGTCGGACACGAACCGACTAAAACCGCACGCCTTCGCCGGGTACTAATAGCCGGGGAACCAGGTATACCCTAGAAAGGAAGGCCCTGGTGCCCCGACATACCTCGGGTCATCTACAGACGAGTAGACGACCCCCGCCCCGTGTGGGAACCCCATGTTCCCTGTGCTCCCTGGAAGCGAGCGCGCTTCGCAACGCGCTCGCCGCCACCCCGGCCTGCTTCTGCTAGGGTGACAGATGGCCTCACCTGTCACCCCCAGGCCTGCGCTTATGGAGGACGAAGGTCGTTCTGCGACCTCCGGCGCCTGAGTCGCCTGCGCTGCCTGGCCCGTGCCCGGGCCTGGCGGGCCGGGAGAGTTCTAAACCTCTCCCGGTCCCGCTCCGCCGTCTCCTTCGCGAGCATAACTTGCTCGCAGAAGGAGACGGCAGAGTTCCACGCACTCTCGCTCCGCACGATAGCCGCAATCAGGCTATCGAGCGAGAGAACTCCCACTCCGATGGCCGCCACGAGGTCTCGCCTCTGCTCAACCCACGCCGGGCACTCTGCCAGCGTGTGGAGAGCCGTGTCCACGGTCTGGCCATCGCAGTGGTGGCACTCAGGCGTTGGCTCCTTGCGGATCAGACACAGGTGATCTCCGAAACATCCCTTCCCAGTGATCACCTGCGTCAATCGGTATGAGAGGGTCCCGTGACGCCTCTCGAGCCAATCCTCCATAACGGGTCTTACCGCCGCAATGACGGCGTGCCCGGCGCTCGGTTGCCCGAGTCGTTCCCTCCACTCCCCTATGATGACCTGGCGGAGTTGGGATTTCCGGTCATCGATTTCTCGAATCTCGGGGTATCGACCCAACCCCTGCGCCTCCTTGCGCCACTGATACAGTGCTGCAAGGGCTCTCGCCTCCAGGTCCCACGGTGGAGTTCCGGCCAGGAGACTCGCCGCCTCGAAGGAGATCGTGCGGTACCCCCTTATGATCCTGATGGCCAGCATTCGCTGCGGTCGCCGCAGTATCGCGACGTTGCTGGCCTTCAGGGCCCCCGCCCATACTGGGCACCCGTAAAGGGCCATGGACCGCACAACCCCCGAGTAGAGTCTCCGGCAGGAGTCATCGGGTCCCTTCATGTTGGGCAGCAGCCGCGCCAACGCACGCGCTGCCCCAACCAACTTGGGGACCAGACCTCGGAAATGATATCCGAAGTCCCATCGGCCATCGAGTACGAGCCCCAGATACCTGATCGAGGGCTCGATGCCGATGCGAGTGCCTCCTACCGTGAGGCTAGATCCCTCAGGCGGCTTCCTCCGAAGCCCGTGGAAGAACAGGGCCTCGGACTTGTGCAGAGCCACCTCGAGACCCAGCCGCCGGATACGCTCAACGACTTGGGCAACCCCGGCCGTGGCCCTCAGGGTTGCCTCGTGGTGCGTCTTGCCGCGCGCCGTCACGAGTGTGTCGTCCGCGTAGCACACGACGGCGACACCATCCAAGAAGGCACCACGAAGCACCCAGTCGTAGCCGATGTTCCACAAGAGTGGCCCTAACACCGACCCCTGCGGAACACCGCACGACATTTCACGCCTACCGAGACCGGTCCTACTGGGGTAGACGACGGCTCTCTCCGACAAATATGCCCCGACTATGCGGCGGAGGTAGAGAGGCACTTCGTGATACACGAGCGCCTCCCTGATGCAGCTCCAGGGCATAGTGTTGAACGCGTTGGCGATGTCCAAGGACACCGCCAACACCACTTCGCCCCGGGAGACTGCTTCCTCCGCCAGAGCCTTCACGCGCATGATCGCATCCACGGTGGAGCGCCCCTGACGGAAACCGTACTGGTTGTCCGCCAGATCCGGCCCAACCATCACGAGATGCTTGACGAGGCGCCTTGCAATCACTCTTTCAAAGAGCTTGCACACCTCGTCAAGCAACACTATGGGCCGGTAGGCGGACGGTGAGTCCGCCGGGCGCCCCTCCTTTCGGATGAGGACCAGTTTCCCCGTCCTCCACAATTTCGGAAACTGGCCCCGCTCGAGGCATGCGCTGAAGAACCCTCGCAGTCGGGGCTCGAGAGCCTCGTCGACTAAGGCCAGGACCCACGCTCGGCCAGGAATGCCATCGGGTCCCGGGGCGGTGTTTTTGGCTTTAAGCCGTAACACCGCCACCCTTAGTTCCACCCCAGTGACCTCAGGCACGTCGTCGTCATCCACGTTAGGCGCCTCAAGCGCCGGAGGCGGAGCCATCTGTGGCGGAGTATGCTCCACCACTCGCGTTGGGAACAGGGAGCCAACGACCCTCTCAAGCAGCTCTGGCTGAAGACACCGTGTGAGCGGCGGGGCCCATGGGCGCATCTTGCCCCTAACCATACGGTAGGGGCGTCCCCACGGATCCCGCTCCAGTGTCTCCAGCATCTCGCGGCGGGCCTCGCTCTTGGCCCGCTTTATCGCTGCCTGAAGGGTCCTCTTGGCAACCCTGTAACCCGCTAACAGCTCCGCCTCTCTCGCTGCCGCATCTTCGGGGCGGCGACGCCTCCTGCGGAACCTGGACCACTGGCGGCGCGCGGTCACGCAGGCTTGACGCAGCCGTGCGATCTCCGGCGACCACCAGTAGACCTGGCGCCTCGCAGTATTGGGCTGAGCTCTAGGCATCGCCGCATCGCAGACGCGGGTCATGGCCTCCCGGAACCACTGTGCCTCATCATCGACGTCGACAGGCCTGTCCGGCGCAGGAGCCCAGGCCTGTACGATGGCGGCTTCCAGGAGGAGGTCGCGATCTAAGCGCTTGAGCGCCCAACGTGGTTCAGGTGGTGCCGGTCTGACCGGCGCGCCATCTGTAGGGGCGGAGACGTCAAACCGAATATATCGGTGATCCGAACCTGTCTCCTCCCCGACAACGACGCGCCAGCCTTGGACACGACGCGCTAGCGAGGGGCATGCGAACGAGATGTCCACAATCGAACTACCCCTCGCCGTCACGAACGTGGCCACGGCCCCCCGGTTTAGGAGAACTAGGCCGAATCTTTCAGCCCAGTTCTCCAATGCCCTGCCCCTCGGGTTCGTGCGCAGGGAACCCCAAGCCTGCGACCAGGCGTTGAAGTCCCCCAGCACAAGAACCGGGTGGGGGCGACAGGCATCGACGACGACGGCCAGCTGAGCGAGCCATTGCTCGAACTCAGTTAGGTTTCGGTTCGGCGTGAAATAAGCGGTCACGACCGCTATATCTCCAACTATCGCCGCTACACAGCCCCGTCCCCTTGCAACTACTGCAAGAGGTGGAGTGCCGGCTGCGGTACCGTGCACCAGGGCCGCCGTGCCGTCCAAGTCGGTCTCCCAGGCAGGCCCGAGAAACCGATGGACATATGGCTCGGCGATAGCGGCGATGTTGATGGACCACTGTGCCATGCTCTGGAGCAGAAGATCCTGAGCATCGGCACCGTGGCCTACGTTCACCTGGAGGATGCGGAGATGTGGATCCATCACTGGACTTCCATCCCCGCATCCCGCAGCGAACTTTGCGGCTGTCCAGCGGCACTCTCCGTCTGGATCAGCGGCTCGGAGGCGGAAGGTCGGCCTCCCGGCTTCGGTCGCGATAGGGCACAGGCCTTACCACCAACCCGGTGGTCGGCAGGCTTGCCCCCCGCTGCGCACCTAAAGCAACGCAGCGGAGCGTTGCAGCCACCCGCCTTGTGACCGGGCTGGCCACAGCGGAAGCATCGGTCACCTACGGTGGCCTCCGCCGTGCAGTGCACCCCTACGTGACCCACCGACAGGCACCTGAAGCACCTTGCCGGTCGGGCCTGCAGGAGTCGTGCCTGCGCCCTCAGGAAACCTCCGACCAGGAGGCTCCGTCCATCGGCGACCTTCTGGGCCGCCGCGATGGGGCAGCTGACAACCGCTGCCCCCTGTCCACCGGGGCCGAAGCGTATTGCTCCGGCCTTCACGCTGTCCAGAGGGCAGCTTCCCGTCTCCGCCACGGCGAGTCTGAGCTCGTCCGCCGTGACAGAGTCGTCCAGGCCCGTGATGCGGATTTCGGCGCATTTAGTGGGCCTGGACACTCGGACGTCAGCTGCATCCAGTGACTCCCTCAGCTTAGCCGCTAGGGCATTGGCTTTGGGGCCACTGGTAGCGCCGGCTACCTCGAGGAGCCGGGCTCCCGTCCGTGTGTTTTTACACCGGACGCCCGGAATCTCGAGGGCTTTGAGGTCCACGTTGGCCTTGACTTTCGTCAAGACCTCGGCGTACCCCACGCCCCTCTCCGCTGCCTCCGCCGTCAAAGTGATTACGACGGCCGAGGAGCGAGGGGCGCGGAGCTTCCTCGGCGCTCCCTTCGCGGCGGCGGCGGCGTCCCTCCTCGCCTTCTTGGCCGCTTTTTTGGCGGCCTTCCGCCTCTTTTTGCTGTCCCCGGCCACCGTCCAGCCCCGCTCCAACGGGCGCTGTGCTGTGTCAGCCGGGGCCGAGACTGGGGCTTGAGTTGGGGCCGCCTTTCCCCTCCCTTTGCCCTTTCCGGCCTTCTGGGGCGGGGGCGCTGATGACGGCCCAGCCACCCTAGCTGCTGGCTGGGCTGTTAGGCCCACCTTGGCAGCGGCCGCATATGTCGCCTTTGGCGGAGCCAGAGGTGGGCGACAACGGGCGCTCTCTAATGCGGAGATGCGCCTCATAATCCGCTCCTCCATCTCCGCCATGAGTCGGACTAAGCCCGGCTCCGGCTCCGGCTCCGGGGCGGACAGCGCCAACGGTGCCGAAGGCGCTGGTGTGGCACCAGCGTGGGCACGAGCCTTGGCGAGATCCGCCTCGAGGCGGGCTCTCTCCCTAGTGTGGGCCCTGCTCTCGGCCACAAGGAGTCTGCCCGCCTCGATTATGGAGCGCACGACCGCTACCAGGGCCTCCTGTTGGGGGCCCCCGGCCACACCGGACGTCTGAAGCAAGCAATCGGCCGCGCCGATGGCCTCCTCGATCCGGTCGACGGGGTTGCCGGTTTTGCCTCGCAGCTCAACGAGGCCAGCACCCCCACCCCCGCTCCCCACATCAGTGGTCGACATCTCGGACGCGACCCCCTCCTGTTTTCTCCGTCCAAGACCCCCATCTTCGGCTCCTCCCAGAGCCGCGGACTGGACCGCCACCTTCTTTCGGGCCACCATGGCCTTGGGGAGTCGGCCTCCGCCGCGAGCGCCTCTGCGGCTTGTGCCGACTTTGGGAGCCGAGGCCTCATCGCTCGAGGCCGACTCCAATTGCCTCTTCAGGCCCAGGCGAAGCGAGCGCCTTTTGCGCTTTGGAGTACCCTTCTGGTGCTGCTCTGCAGCTGAGACCATCGGGGTACTCGCTCCGCTCCTCTCCGAGGCAGTGTCGGTGTTCGACACTACCTCCAGGTTTTTCGCGTCCTCCGCGATAACGTCGCCGGATTTACTGCTCGGCGACGGGCAGGTTCGACATTTGGTGCTCCCCCCAGAATACGAGTGGGAGCTGCCGGAGCCGTTTGGCTCCGGGAGGGATTCCCCAGACACTGTGTGTCCGGGACCCTCCTGGGTAGATTTAATAATCCTTGGCCTCATGTCATGTTTTTTAGTTTAACGTCCTTCGACGGGGACGCCTTCGGCACTGGACTCCCTCCAGCGACTCAGCCCCTTGCCAGGCGTCAGAACGTGGGCTTAGAGCATTTTTTATAGAGGTTTACGTCCTCGCGGATCCGAAGATCCACCGGTCCTGTCCATTCAGGATTACGGCTGGGCCGGACGGGGTCTGCACCAGACCGGGTCCGTCCGCCCCAGGGTTTTTTATAGAGGTTGCCTTCCTCGTAGCCCTCGAAGAGCCGTCATTCCTGACTGTTGCCAGTCAGGGTTACGACATGGCCGGACGGTGGTCTGCGTCAGACCAGTGTCCACCACCTCTGGACAGAGCCAGCGGCAGTGGACCCGTCCGCCCCCAGCCCGCTCTCCCCTATGCCCTCTGCCAAACAGAGGGACATGCGGAAAGCAGCCCTCCGAACAGCCCTTGACGGGCCGTTCCCACCTCGGCCGGAATTGGCCGCAGGCGGCAGCGCCTTTCCCACCTAGGGAGAGAGGCGCTGCCGTCTCCGTTGCCCAGGGTGCACCACAAGGAGGTTCCGGACCACGCACCCCGGTTTTTGTGTCCCTGGGGTTTACATTGAAACTACAGACACAAAATAACGTACAGATTCGAGAGAATTTACGTGAAAGAGCAATGCTTCGGTTCTATCTTATCCTAGGATCACGCAGAAAACCGGTGTTAACTAATTCTTTCATTGCTTCCGGAGTCTCCCCCCCTCCCCCTCTGCTTCTGGAAGAAGGAGACGAAGGACACACTTGTGACTCTTAAGTCACAAATGTCTACAGGCGGCGGTAGTTACTTACCATCACCTATAGACCCGTCAGCTCGTTTGCCCCCTACACCATAAAAAAAGAATCACACACAGAACTGATACTCACCAAGAGCGGCATCTGCGGAGCGACGATGGAACCAATCCTCCCCACCATAGAACAGGCGCCAAGAAGCGAATGACGCGCATGAGTAGGGAACAACTCTGACGTATACATGTAAATTCCGCTGAAAGCTTGCGTGATGGCTACCTTACCCACCAGGTACAGCGTTGTTGCCAACCATGACACAGCTGTTGGACAAAATTAATATTATAGCACAATCAAAGACTAGCCTAATACACCCATTAATTTGAAATTCAGAAATGAATTAGAGATACACACAAAATTTACTGAAGTAAATACTAGAAAAGTAATCAGACCCTTCACCTACAGGGCCTATAAAATAAAAATTTGTTTATTCTGTTGATGTACGGGTAAATTAAAGTAAGTTAGTATTTTTATTTATTTATTTTATAACTTTTTGCACAAGTACATGCATCGGCGGACTTAATGCCTAAGGCATTCTCTGCCAGTCGACCGATTAGGCGATGCTGAGAAAGAATGAGGTAGGTGCATTTATGGGGGGGGGGGGGGGGGTAATAAATGATAGAGGTTTTGTTAAATAACAACTATCTTAGATTTTATACATCTAAATACCACACACATACATATATATAAACGTACACACAGACACATATATCTATACTAATATTATAAAGCTGAAGAGTTTGTTTGTTTGTTTGTTTGTTTGTTTGTTTGAACGCGATAATCTCAGGAACTACTGGTTCGATTTGAAAAATTCTTTCAGTGTTAGATAGGCCATTTATCGAGGAAGGCTATAGGCTATATATCATCACGCTAAGACCAATAGGAGCGGAGCACCAATGAAGAATGTTTCAAAAACGGAGAAAATTTATTACTATTGAGAGACGCAGACGAAGTTGCGCGGGTCAGCTAGTCTAATATATAAAATTCTCGTGTCACGGTGTGCGTGGTTGAACTCCTCTGAAACGGCCGATTTTCGTGAAATTTTGTGTGCATATCGGGTAGGTCTGAGAATCGGCCAACATCTATTTTTCATACCCCTATTTTTTTTTCTTTTTTAATGACATTTTTTTTAAATAATGCATATGGCAAAACAACGTTTTCCGGGTTAACATTATAATAATTTTAGGCGATGAACTAAGAGCTCGTCACTCGTATTTTCAGGCAAACTGAGTTCTAAATTACCTGGATAGGATTGAAATTAAAATATTTTTACAGAGTTACAAGAATAATTGTTTTCAACACTTTAATTTTAGACTATGGAAAACCTTTAAATACTAAAAGAATAAAATGCAAACTCACAAGTCGGAACAAACGGAATAGCAATGCAGGCTATACCGCAGACGGTATACGCGACCAGCAACGTTCTCTTCCTCCCAATACGATCCAGCACCAACGCGTTGGTGACGACTGCTATCACCTCCACGGATACCACCAGCATATAATTGGTATACTTATCACCAGCCAGCGACACAGAGTTTATAGCCAGGCCGTAAAATACAAACGTACAAGTAATCCACCACCAGGAACAGATTGCCAATCTCTTCATTATTATCGGTGATCTAAACACCTGCATCCACAGTCCCTCTTCCTCTATCTCTTCTACTTTCTTTTCGTCTGTAGGCTTCACCTTACTTTCTGTCAACTGTTTCATTGTTTCATCTGATAATGTCACTTTGTTCATCTTTGCAGCTTTCAAGATTATTTCCACAGCTTCTTCTTTCCGCCCTTTAGACAACAACCATCTGATGCTCTCAGGTAAGAGGTAAATATAGAGTATGAAGAGGAGGGATGGAGGGTATGCTACTAAGATAAAGGTTCGCCAGTACTGGAAGGTTTTGGAAAGGATAGCATAACTGAGACCTCCTAATACCAACATAATACCCAGAAACGCTGTTGTGAGAACTCGCTTATCTTGGCCTAGGAGTTCGATTGCTAGAAAAAAAAAGAAAGTTAGTAAATATAGTAATTTCAATAAATCAACCAATAAAACTTTTTTAGTCTACTGCTGGACAATTTTATCCCCTCGGAACTAGTTTATTCCAGCCACCTTCATCATCTAGGTCATCTGGGTAGAGACTTAGGGAGTCTTCTATTCTCGGTTTCCCAATTCGCGGACTCGCCTTAAGACCCGTTTTTTCTATTAATTATTTAATTATATTTTTTTCAGTTATTAGGAAATAGTATGCAAAACTTCCCAAAGTATCAAAAGTAACATTCAGTATATTTGGATGTATACTAATCGACATCCATAAATAAGATCTCATACAGATGTAAAAACCGTTTTTTTATAGTCGAAGCTTTTCAAATCGAAATGAAAAATGTTACGAAATCACTCAGGAGCTGTGCTGTAACCACTCGCCAACGATACTCCAAAAAAGAGCAACAGCTGACTAATCGACATTATTTGCGGTCTTTTATGGGAATGACATTACGCCATACAAGCAATGTCTAAACAATAGAAGTTAAACTATTAACAGATCTTGACAGTAATCAATAATTTACAGTACGTTATAATTAAATGAGATATTGTTATGTTTTAAAATCTGACTTACGTCACGTTATGTGAATGCAAACACCAAATATACATATAAGGGATCTTAACCAAACTACGTCACATCAACAGCCTTTACTAGTCCACTGCTGGACATAGGCCTCTCCTTAGAAAGGAGGTTTTGGCCTACTATACCACGCTGGCCAGACGGGTTGGTATAGGGTTTGTGTCAAGTTTTCCTTCTTTTTGCAGTGCTGGTGTCCTGCGTTGTTTTGCGCCCTTAGTCGGCTCTTACGACACCCACGGGATGCATTGGGGTAGTGACATTCCGTATTCTTAGTCCGTCACTACACGGACATAGACACGGACACCAAACTACGTGACCCATACTTAAACACCTCCCGTGACCTCTTGTAGAATATGCCAAGACCCCTCCTGACCCCTCTGGTCTTCACATAGTAATTAATAAATATGCTTTTAAATTATGTTGTGTCTTTTTGACGTGACAACGTCTTATAAATTGGTTTGCCGGGTGACACTTCAAGAAACTGCGTTACGCTCCGCTCACGTTATGCGCTCACAATGAGAGCGAGTGAGAGGCACGCGTCCCTTCCAATCGGGCATGGTTAGCCCGCCTAAGAGCGAGAGAGACAGACATAGTCGTTGTCACGTAAAACTTTCGCCCGTATACCGACTTTACAGGCAACCAATTTTTTAAGATGTGAACCACCTACTAAATATAAATTGTTAAGACAACAAGATACAAGTTTTCTTACTTAAAATATAAGCAGCAGGAAAAGCACTGGCTCCAGCAACGGTCTCGAGAAATTCCACGATGATGTACATCTCGTAGGATATGGAGAATGCCTTCAGTGAACCTATGGCTCCAACAAGCGTACAGCTCAATATGAGAGCCCGCTTACGGCCCCAACTGGAAAAATAAATAAAATTTATAACCCTGGAATGTCTTGCTTGTTAGTATAGTGGTTAGTGTGCCTAACTGTTAAGTCAGAGATCGTGGGTTCGCTTCCCACTAAAGCAAGATCAATTCTTCTATATGTGGGTGTAATTATTGATTCTTTTAAATACAAAGTTTACTACTTTGAGAACATTTGGAATGGTTTGTTTTTATATAAAGGCAACGCTCGAAACTAGGAATATATGCTGTGTCGCGGGGGACTTTACTAACATTCATGAAACGGACAAAAACAACACCTAGACTCAAAACAACAATTTGTAGATCACACAAAATGTGGTTCCATGTGGTAATCGCACCCATAACGCTACATGAGCTCTCGCTCACTAGGAAAAGGCGAGGTGACCTCTTAAACCACTACGCCAACCCTGCAGTCAGTCATAGTTGGAGGATTCGATCCCGGTCATATTTTAGTCCCGAAATTTTCGGGATCAAATTTAATGAATCCCGGGATTTTCGGGATTGATACATTTTTTACATAAGTCAATAAAAATGTGCGTAAAAAGAAACGCACTTGCCTTGATTTGATGGTTTGACAGCCATCTTGTCTACACAGCTGATTTCATTTGTTTTTGCTAATGACCGGTTCTGGATTATGCGTAAAAGTGTGTAATTTATAAAGTTTCTGGGCAATTTAATTAAAAAATATGAGTAGGTATCTATAAACATTGGTCTCTTAAGCATATAGTTTTTTTTATAGTTTATCTGAATAAGTCTAAAGAAGTTGATTTTTTGAAGTTTATTGTTAGTTTCATAAATTATTTACCGCAACACAAAACAAACTAGGCACTAGTTTGCTTATTTTATAAGAAGAAAGTATAATTTTGGTTAACCGCCTTTTTGGAGATTTAAAACTTAAATGTTCTATGTCCTCACAAAACTAAATGATAAACAAAAAAATATTTTGATATGTTTTACTGTCTTTTTGTTACCACTTTCCATTGCCAATACAATCCCGGGACTATCCCGGGATCCCGAGATTAACTGTAGATAATCCCGAAATCCCGGGATTATAAAAATCGACCGGGATCGAATCCTCTAGTCATAGTGCAAGATTTTACTTAGACAAATATTCAACTTCCAAAACGATTTACTGCTTGATTCTTATCAAGCAGAAAATCGTATCAAGCAGTTGTGAAATTAATCTCTTTGCTTGCTTACTTTATTATTAATCTGTTCACATGGCAATCTGTGTTACCTTTTATTTTATTCCTTATAAGAACATTGTATCCTTAATAAACATCTTGATCATCTTGAATTTAATTTATTTATTTTATTCCATATCTTTGTCAAAGGTCTTCTCAAGATCACTGCGTTACTACACTAACTACTTTGTAATAAAATATAAATAATAATACCCATATATCAATGTGATTTTGTTAATATGTTATCTAAACTGTGAATGCTGTGTTAGCTCGTAAATGGCATGTATATCAGAACCTTATTACCTAGATTTTACTGTGCTAGCTGTGAGTTAACCAAATAAATAAATACACACACGCCTAAATACTCGCAGGAATAGGCATAGTTTTTAACCGACTTCAAAAAGGAGGAGGTTCTTAATTCGATTGGTATTTTTTTTTATGTATGTACACCGATTACTCTGAGATTTATGATCCGATTAACGTGATTCTTCTTTAGTTTGATGCGGAATAGTTGCCATTTGGTCACATAAAAATTTAACATAGTTAGGCCCAGTAGTTTTCATTATATGAACATTTTTAATGAATATTATTGTTTACTTGGATGATATAATTTTAGTTTGTGTACGGCCTTTTTAGGAGTTTACATTTAAGTTGATTATAATATTATATAATAGCTACTACTATACTACAATACTTTTTCCTAACTACATGTACCTAAATTGTTCTAACTCTGCCCTACCCCGCTTAACTGTGGCACATAATAGTTGTGTTGATGGGAAATGAGAAACAAAACTGACACTAATCTATCTATAAACATATAAGAGATTTCCACATATATAGTAACTCATCACGATATCTCTGGAACCATTAGAGCTAAAGACTTGAATGTTGGTAGGAATATTCTTTTCACAGGGTAGAGGTCAGCTAAGAATGGATTTTACGAAATTAAAAAAAAAATATGTAAATAGCAAAACAACGTTTGCAGGGTCAGCTAGTAATAGATAAAAACCATATTTCTAGCGGGTTGTATATCGTATAAAAATTCCTAAATCTTAGATACTTAGATACTTATGTTAGAATTTGACGACCGCATGGCGTAGTGGTTTGTGTAACAGACTGCTATTCTAATGGTCGCGGGTTCCATTCCCGCTCAAGTCAAACATTTGTGTGCATGAACATTTAATGTTTGATTTGGTCTGGGTGTTTCTATGTATAATATGTATGTATTTACAAAAAAAAAAGTATATATATGTATTTATTTCAGTTGTCTAGTACCCATACATAAACTAAGCAGAGCTTGTAGCTCTGCTTAGTTTGGGACTAGATGGCGTTATGTGAATGTCGTAGAATATTATATTATATTATTATTATATTTGCACACGCAGCCTACAAGTTCTGACATTGTGACCATAAGTTAATACAGAGTGGAACTTATGTACTACACCTGTATACATGCTAAAATTTGACCACAAATTACTGTGTGGTCAAATATTAAAATATAAATTACTAGTTGTACCCTGCCACACTTCGCTGTAGCACATTGTGTTTGTATAAAATAGATAAACACCATCTTTGTGGCGGGTTGTATATCGTAAAAAAAATTGAGCACAATCAATCAAAATCAAAAAAAAATGTGTTTTTCAGGTGTACACAAACTTACTTAACATTTTATATTATATATATAGTTAAGCCCCACTTTTCTGATAAGCGATAGGCATATTGCTGCCCATAATTCGGAGGGAAGGGGGGCGGGGGTAGCACTCAGGTTATGTCTCTTGTGGTGCAGGTATCCAGGCTGTCTGCACACTTCCCCCTATATCATAATAAATACTTAGATACTCACCGATCTGAGATATATCCAATAATGGGCAGCGATACCAACATGCCAATGTTGTGTATTGTCCCCACGAGGGTGCGCTTCCATTCTTGACACGCCAAGTTGAACTGAGAACATGAATATGTTTTTGACGTTAGTGATTTAGTTATAGGTAACACAAGGTAGTCCGAAGACCTAGTGGAGGTCGTGGAAAGTCGTTGGATGCGTTCAGCACTGGACCAGTTGTTGTGGCTAACGCTAGAAACCTATGTCCAGCAGTGGACATCTTTCGGCTGAGATGATTTAATATACCAGAATTAACCCGCGGCTTGCCTTACATTACTATTGACTTGTTCAAACTATTTTATCCTTAATAAAAGGTATATATGTTATTCCAGTTTATTATCTGTTTTTGTGCAAAATTTTGAATTATTAAAATTAAAATCCCTACAGCCGTTCTGGTGTTATTGAGTAACAAACAATCATATCCACAAACTTCAGCGTGTATTACATTAATGGGATTAAAGCTTGTATTCTTTCAGGAAATCTAATCTAATAATAATAATTTATGTTACAATCTGTCTGCAACATAAAAAGACGCGAAGTCGATTCCTGTTAACTCCAAAAAAAACGTGTGGCACTCGGGGACTGCCGCGATAAAGCTATTGCATAGCATTTTTTATCAACTTATGCAATTATAATTATTTTTTTATTTTATTTATGCAGTATTTTTTTCCTTTGTTTTTTTTTCTTTGATATTAATTCAAGTTACACTTTTTGAGCGTGGTGACCGATAAGAAAACATTTTTTTTTCTTTTATTAAATAAATGAGAAGTTAATATTGTTCAAAATATTTTTATTATCTTACAATACATGTAGATTATTCAGGAATATTTATCATTGAAACTATAGGTTTATGGTAACTGAAATAAGAAACGTAAGTTTGAGACTTGATATCTTCTAAATATCTGGAAAATACCGCGTCACAACCAATGCCACCTAGAGGCGAGTTGCTGAACTAAAGAGACAAGCGTGATATTTCAAAAAAGTCATTAAAATTTCTGCTATTCATCGATAGATGGCAAAACTAAAAAGTATCACCGCTGTACCGGTCGGAGTGGCGGGTGTTAGGTTATTTTCGTTATGGAATTTCTGGATTCGGTCTCCACGCTCAAGGCCCGCGATATAAGCTATGCAATAGCTTAAAAAAATATTTGAAAATCTGATTATGTTTTTTAGCATTGATCTTAGTGTCGTAGAACTCATATTATAAGCTTTAAATTATTAGTCTATGACGTCTAGGTAGTCACGTATAATAGTAATAATTTAATTATTTCAAATTAACGCAAATATTTATTATAATTTGACTGCACGAATGGCGTAGTGGTTTAAGCGGTCGCCACGCCCCTTATTACTACGCTGAGTGTTGTGGGTCCGATCCTAACATGGAACGACATTTTGTGTGATCCACAAATTGTTGTTCTGAGTCTGGGTGTTCTATGTTTGTAAAGTCCCCCGCGACACAGGATATATTCCTAGTGCGAGAGTTGTCTTTTTTAAAATAGCAAAATAGAAATAGAATTGTTCACAGAGGAACATAAATTAGTTACTTATATTGCTGTACTGGACGTTACATGAAAATACTAATTCTTTTTGTTTTAAAAGACAACTCTCGCACTAGGAATATATCCTGTATCACGGGAGACTTCACAAACATACATTAAACGGACACAAAGAATACTCAGATTCAGAACAGTACTACTGTACCGTAAATAATTCAGTGATTGATGGAACACTGATCTAGGATGATGTGAGTGTGATGTGAAAAACATGACACAACAATCCAGTCAGCCGACCATATCTAATGAACTGTCCGTCCACACGTCGCTTCTGACTGACTGTCCTTGAGTGGAGTTATATCTACAATAGTGTTCAGTGATCCGCGGTCATCGGGCACCGCGAATAACTTGACAATTGGAGCGAAACATCAAAATTTAAATACACCATTGATTATGTTACCGATGACGGTGTAAAATCATTCGGTATAATTCACTATTCTTCTTATTCCTTTAAGTATTATTTACAAACATAAACAATTCTTACATTTTTTCAAAATTCAAATTCAAAATATCTTTATTTTAAAAAAAATGTTTGAAATCGTCTTTTATGTAGACTCTAAAGTCGTAGATCAACACACACACTACCGTGTGTGTGTCTGTTTGTGACCGTGTGTGTGACTGTTTCTATTGCAACAGTCTCTGTTTCGTCAAATAGGAAAATAAATTTAATAAAAATTATACTTATACAAAATCTATTATATGCCTGTGCCGATCTGCAACCGCCCGTTTTCAAAGGGTTGACCCTTATGAGAAAAAGGGCAAACAAAGTCATGGCCAGTCTTTTGCAACTTACAGACAAATTCAATGGCATCATTAAATATACCACAACATTGATGTGTATGTTGGTTATTAAGGGCTAAAAGGTAAAAAGACAATAAAGAGAAAACTCAACTTAATTTTTTAAACGACTTCAAATAAAGGAAAAGGTTCTCAATTCGGTTGCATTTTAAGGGGTCTACGCTAGGCGAGCCGTTCTGGGCGTCGCTGTCGTTGTTCGCAGCATCAAGTGTGGACTAATGATCGACGGAAAGGATTACTTTCCTTGAACGTCGTTTTACACAGTGTGCTCGCAGCTCTTGACAAATAAGGACGAGTTTGCTGTTACAGCAGCAGTTGCAGCGATTATCATAGCCGAAGTCAGTAAAAAAGCTAAAAGGCCAAGACGATGGAGATATACAAACTTATTTAAAGATAAATCCAGTCAATAAAAACCAGAATTATTGACCATTTTAAACTCGAAACGCGCTCGTTCAAGGTATGTAAGTCGGTCCGCACTACAAGAGTTTGTGCTCGGCTGTGCTCCGGTCGAGCCTAAAATGACCGACCTTATTTTTGTATATTTGTTACCTCAGAACTCGGTTATTTATGAATCGATTTTGAACATTATTTTTTCATTTGGGGGTTTAATAACTTAAATGGGATCAAAAGGAAAGTGTACTCAACACTTCCCCTTTGATTGTTTTGATCCCATTCAAATTTCAAGAAAAAATACCCTCGGAAAGGTGCAAAATTAAGAAACGACAAAAACAGGTGCATAAAAACTCATTATGGTAGGTACAATGCGATCGGTGTCACATTTTTAAAAGTCGATTATTTTGTTTATTGTTGTGACAATAAAAAAACAGTTTTATTATTCACTATTTGGCGAACACAGCAATTGAATGAATTATGGCTGACTTGTGACTCTGGTCGGTTAGTAGTAAATATAACTAAATGACTTATTGTTCTTATGATATATTTACATATAAATGAGATAAGACCAGTCTGGAGTGTCTCAGTGCGACGTTCGTGTCTCGCGACATGTAGTCGCAATAGACATTAAATGATAAGAAAACAATGCTAGAGGAGCTCTGAGAGCTGCTATATAATAATATAATAATAGCTATATATAATAGTCCACTGCTGGACATATGTCCAGCAGTGGACTATTAGCGACTGTTGTTTATGATTTGATATTTGTATTATTGAGAGTATGATTGTAAGGACAATTATCATTAAATATCGGTAACTGATTGACTCAGAGCTCCTCTAGCATTGTTTTCTTATCATTTAATGTCTATTGCGACTACATGTCGCGAGACACGAACGCCGCACTGAGACTCTCCAGACTGGTCTTATCTCATTTATATGTAAATATATCTTAAGAACAATAAGTCATTTAGTTATATTTACTACTAACCGACCAGAGTCACAAGTCAGCCATAATTCATTCAATTGCTGTGTTCGCCAAATAGTGAATAATAAAACTGTTTTTTTATTGTCACAACAATAAACAAAATAATCGACTTTTAAAAATGTGACACCGATCGCAATGTACCTACGATAATGAGTTTGTAAGCACCTGTTTTCGTCGTTTCTTAATTTTGCACCTTTCCGAGGGTATTTTTTCTTGAAATTTGAATGGGATCAAAACAATCCAAAGGGAAGTGTTGAGTACACTTTCCTTTTGATCCCATTTAAGTTATTAAACCCCCAAATGAAAAAATAATGTTCAAAATCGATTCATAAATAACCGAGTTCGATGTAACAAATATACAAAAATAAGGTCGGTCATTTTAGGCTCGACCGGAGCACAGCCGAGCACAATTTCTTGTAGTGTGGACCGACATACATACCTTGAACGAGCGCGTTTCGAGTTTACAATGGTGAATAAATCTGGTTTTTATTGACTGGATTTATCTTTATATAAGTTTGTATATCTTGGCCTTTTAGCTTTTTTACTGACTTCGGCTATGATAATCGCTGCAACTGCTGCTGTAACAGCAAACTCGTCCTTATTTGTCAAGAGCTGCGAGCACACTATGTAAAACGACGTTCAAGGAAAGTAATCCTTCGGTCGATCATTAGTCCACACTTGATGCTGCGATCAACGACAGCGACGCCCAGAACGGCTCGCCTAGCGTAGACCCAGGTAGACCCCTTAAAATGCAACCGAATTGAGAACCTTTTCCTTTATTTGAAGTCGTTTAAAAAATTAAGTTGAGTTTTCTCTTTATTGTCTTTTTACCTTTTAGTCCTTAAAACCGACATATCGGCACATATTAGAACAATGTTGTGGTATATTTAATGATGCCATTGTATTTATCTGTAAGTTGCAAAAGAGTGGCCATGACTTTGTCTGCCCTTTATTCTCATAAGGGTCAACCCCTTGAAAACGGGCGGTTCCAGATCGGCACAGGCATATCATAGATTTTGTATAAGTATAATTTTTATTAAATTTATTTTCCTATTTGACGAAACAGAGATTATTGCTATTGTGTGTGTGTCTACGACTTTAGAGTCTACATAAAAGACGATTTCAAACATTTTTTTTAAAATAAAGATATTTTGAATTTGAATTTTGAAAAAATGGAAGAATTGTTTATGTTTGTAAATAATACTTAAAGAAATAAGAAGAGTAGTGAATTATACCGAATGATTGGCGAATGACAGACGACCGTATGGCGTAGTGGTTTGTGTAACGGACTGCTATTCCAAAGGTCGCGGGCTCGGTTCCCGCTCAAGTCAAACATTTGTGTGAATGAAGATGAACATTTGATGGTTGATTTGGTCTGGGTGTTTCTATGTATAATATGTATGTATTTAGAAAAAAAAAGTATATATGTATTTATATCAGTTGTCTAGTACCCATAGCGTTGTGTGTATGTGGTAGAATATTATTATTATTATTATATTATTATTTTACACCGTCATCGGTAACATAATCAATGGTGTATTTAAATTTTGATGTTTCGCTCCAATTGTCAAGTTATTCGCGGTGGTTGATATCAAATCATCAACAACAGTCGCTAATAGTCCACTGCTGGACATATGTCCAGCAGTGGACTAGTAAAGGCTGTTGATGATACCACGCTGGCCAGACGGGTTGGTATAGGGTTTTAGTTCGACTTTTACTTCGCCTTGCAGTGCTGTTGTCCTGCGTAGTTTGCTCGGGATGAATAGGGGTGGTGACACTTTGTATTCTTAATCCGTCACCACACGGAGCCTCATGTTACACCATAAGATCGACGTCACCCCCATTCATCTCGTGAAACTGAACAGAACAACAGCACTGCAAAGAGAAGGAAAACTTGAAACAAACCCTCCTTTCTAAGTAATTAGTCAAATCAAATAATATTCTACCACATTCACACAATACCATCTAGTCCCAAGCTAAGCAAAGCTTGTAGTATGGCTACTAGACAACTCATATAAATATACATATGTATACCTTTTTTTTGTAAATACTCGTACATACTTATTATACATAGAAACACCCAGACCAAATCAAACATTAAATGTTCATGCACACAAATGTTTGACTTGAGCGGGACTTGACTGTGTAACAGTTTCCTGTTACACAGTTCCGTCCTCTGCAGGAAAGCGAGATCATGTCCAACATTAAAAACAAGGAAATTGAATTGAGATTGCGGTTTTGAGTTTGGTTAAGGACTTACTCAAAAAGAATACAAAATATGTTAGTATTTTAGTAAAATATAAATCAAGTATAAGTTTACTGATTTCTACTAGACTTGGAATAATTTAAGCTTTATAACTTACTTCAAAAATAATTATTTGAATACACAGAATAATGAAATCTGTGAGTTTTATTATTAAAAATATAAATATATATAGAAACGCGCGTCTTCTATTGCACGGATGGCGTAGTGGTTTAAGAGGTCGCCAATCCGCTACCTACCACGCCGAGTGTTGTGGGTTCAAACCCCGCATGGGACGACACTTTGTGTGATCCACAAATTGTTGTTCTGAGTCTGGGTGTTCTTTGTGTCCGTTTCATGTATGTTTGTAAAGTCCCCCGCGACACGCATATATTCCTAATGCGGGCGTTGTCTTTTTAAAAACAAAGAAAAAAAAACAAATAAGGGACCTTTAGCCCATAGTGCCCATACTAAAATCTTCAGCAATTGCAACGCCGAACGCACTGTAATGATCAAGTTGATGTGAAATAAACTGCCACTACTAATAAACTTACACTGCACTCGTGTACATTGACCTCTAATCACTATAGGGCTCAGACTTTCCAGTAATAGCCAATTCGATTTACTGGTTTGCGACTTTAACCTGATCGACCTATTGCTTATATCCACAGACCAATTAATATTTCTTTCCTACCAAGGCTTACCACCTAATTACGAAAGTTTCCGTTTACCTTATAACGTTTTTGGGACCGAAATTATAGTCGTCAAAACGAAGGCTTTTAATGTATCTTCTTACCCATTCTGGGAAATAGGCGTGAGTGTTTGTATGTATCAAAACAGGGATACAATATTAATTTGAATCATCAATAGTCTCGCCATCGGTGTTCTGACATTTGTAAAAAATATTGTTACGAGCGGGGTATATAATAAATAAAAGTTGTCGGTTAATTACTTTATTGCACTTTCTTTACAAACACTCACTATAATAAACTAGAAATCACTACATATCTCGTTAGTCATGCTAGAAGTTCACTCCGATGTTAATTCGCTGTGTCGTAAAACGATACTTTCCCAAACGGCCAACATGCTCCGGTTTTATAGCGGTTTTGAATTTTACTAGAAAGATCCCTAGTGTACGATAGTCCGTTCCAGACAACAAGAATATTCCAGAATCAGTCACGCGTTACTTGCGCCATCTAGCTCTGTAAGGATCAGAACTACTCGTATTAACCACAATCTTAATAGATGTACTTTAGTCGATACTAGATAGCGCTGTCCTCCACATACCATACAATCGAACCATTCAATCCTATGGCGCAACAAAACCATATTACACTTAGCAAGTTATTACAGTAATGAATAGATTCCGGTGTTTAGGACGTGTCAAAAATAAGTTTGGATACACGCTCGTTATATTATTACAAGTTTTGTGTATTCTAATCTAGATTGTGTAATATATATGTTTTCTTATGGTATAAGAGGGCCAACGAACAGATCTGCCTGCCTACAGATACTATTAGATAACTTTCGTCTAGAATAAAATATAGTTTAAATTTGGGTGCTAGATCTCAATTGATCTCGTGGACAGTCCGTGAGTTGGAAAAGAAGAAGATCTCAATTGTTGTAAAATTATTTTATGGACAGATATTGGTAAACGTTATTAAATCATAAAATAGCGAAAATAATAATATTCTACCATATTCACACACAGCCATCTAGTCCCAAACTAAGCAGAGCTTGTACTATGGGTACTAGACAACTGATATAAATACATATATACTTTTTTTGTAAATACATAATTATTATACAAAGAAACACCCTGACCAAATCAAACATTAAATGTTTATGAACCCGCCACCTTTGGAATAGCAGTCCGTTACACAAACCACTACGCCATCAAGTCGGCACTCTACGCTTTTTTACGATAAAATGTTTTTTCTATTTGAACTAGTAGATGATTTTGAATTTGACAAATTATTTTATTGCGATTGATAAGTGTGCGAAGTTTCAACGTTTTGAAGTGGGTTAAAATCACGTTCGAAGATTCCATTACATACATAGATAACAAACTAAAAAATAGAAAATATTTTTTTAATAAATTTGAAAAAAAAAGCGTGTTATTTTTTTTTTTTTTTTAATATTTTAATTTTTTTATTTTAATTTGGTGTATTGTCATCGGTCCTCGATATATCTACAAAGTTTGAACGAATTCTGACAGTTTAAAGTCAGTCAAAATCACGCCCAAAGGACTGCTACCGTGGGATATTTAAATTAATTCATATAACGTAATATTAAAACTAAACGTGGAAGAGCCATGTTTCGTCACATATGGGCTAGACTCGACCGGAGAGATACCACGGCCTCACAGAAAACTGGTGTTAAGTAATTCCTTAGTTGCACTTCACCGTCAGACGACGCTCTAAGACAGACAACGCGCTCGTTATTCTGGAATTACAGGTGTACAAAGGCAGCGGTAGCCACTTGTGATTCCTCCTGAACCTGACCAACGGACCTAAAGACTGATGCAGTCGACTCAAGTCTTAAAAATCTTAATCATTCTCTAATGAGACTATTTTAACTGCCTACATGACATGTCATTATATATACCTCTGCAACTATAGTATTATTGGCTTCATACAGCCAGTTGTCACATGGCAGCAACTCCTCAGAAAAAGCAGTCCCCTCACTGCAGGGAAGCTGGTCATCCACTGGCACTCGGCGACGACATCGTGCATCGATCCCATGTTGTGGCAAAGCACCTTCTAGCCAAGGAGTTGAATAGACACTGCTGTTTTTGGATTCGCATTCTGGAACCACGCATCTGTGAACAACGAAAAGGATTGATTTTTTGTGAGATATACCTGGTTAGTTTCATGATATAGATTTGTTCAAAGTATTTTCTATTTAGTATTGACATAGAATCCATACTAATATTATAAATGCGAAAGTGTGTCTGTCTGTCTGTCTGTTACCTCTTCATACTTAAACCACTGCACCGAGTTAAATGAAATTTGGAGTATAGATAGGTTGAGTCCCGGAAAAGGACATAGGATAGGTTTTTTCCAGCAATCATCCTTTAAGGTTGAAAGGGGGGGAGGAAGTTTGTTTATTAAATCTATAACCGCTGAACCGATTTAGATGAAATTTAACTATGTTGATAGTTTGATTCTTGAGGATGGACATAGGCTTACACAGTTGCTATATAGGCAAAAGCTGCTATACAATAAATATACTCGTAGTATACATAAATACATAAAAGCGAATGCATAATGTAGCAAAATAAATATAAATATAAAACAGAAAAATAACCATAGTATAGACATACTTTAGCACATGGGCCGGCAACGCACTTGTGACGGGGGGGCAAACCGGATCACCCGCCGGGGCGGCAGTTTCCGGGGGCGCCAAAATCATTCAATCATCAAAATCAATTATTCATTTTTTTCTCGTACCTCTTTGGTTTCTCGCAAACCATCATAATATATTTGTTAGATTTTTTAAGTTATTTACTTTTTAAGGTATCGGCCGTCTCAGGTACTAGTAGCCGGGGATACCCTAGGAAGGAAATATAACTCAAACGCTGGAGAGAGCGGACGCTATTATTAAGTTTCTGGCCCGGTTCGAAATAATCGTAGATCTCGGGCTGTTGCAGGTGCCCATGTGTGCCCTTACCATCAGTTGACCCGTCTGTTTGTTTGCCTCTCTATTCCCTCAAAAAGGCAATGGATAGTGTTATTTTTTTTGACCTGTGTATCTGTGTATTTGTGTGTCTTTGCATCTGTTTATCCGTGTACCTGCGTATCTGTGTATCTGCGTATCCGTGTATCTGTGAATCTGTCTGTATGCAGCATCATAGCTCCCTAACGGATGGACCAATTTCGATTCGGATTTTTTTATTCAAAAGCCGATGTGATCGAGATGGTTCTTAGCTATACATTTTGAAGATCATCAGCTCACTTTCTAGATGATGAAAGGATTTCACTAAAATCCACAGGTCTGATTGATTTGAAATTTGGTATACTGTTACTATGATGGTATTCCCACGACATGGTAACCTGGAACTTACTGCTGCATTAAGTAGTCAGCGGGATAGCCAACTCCTCAGAAAATTACAGCATATATACCATGTTTGGATTTATTAGAACATTCTCAATGAGCAGTTGTTTTTTTTTTAAGTTTTTTTTTGTCGGGGATTTTTTATTGATCCTGTTTAACTTTTTAACTCTGTAAGCGTTGCCTTAAAAGAGGTTTTCTAAGTTTTACCACAAATTATGTGCCTCGGGTCGTACATTTTTTGCATAAAATAATGTTATGATGGTGGACACGCATGGCAGCCTCTTCTCAATGTCACGAATACACTGTAATTATTAGCAGTATAACAACATGAAGTCATTCTCAATGATATGCAAATATAAGAGTATAAATGACATAACTTTGTTAAATTTGAGCAGTAATAAAAATAAGGGACAAGATGGGATTTTTTTTGTACATAAATATATTTTAAAATGTAATTTATATATATATATTTAATGAAATCAAGAGAATAATAATAAAACATTACACATCTCACACACGGCCCAGTTTGGGATCAGACTCCCAAACTAGGCAGAGCCTGTGCTTTGGTGACCAGACTGCTTAGTAACATACTTATATATTTCTAAATATATAGATAAATTACATCCAGACACAGAACAAATGACTGTGCTCATGACAACTATTTGTCCTGGGTGGGAGTCGTACCCACGACCTCCAAACCAATAGACTAGACCAACAGGTCCATTAAATTTTTTAATGAAAAACATATATGTAGCTGAGAAAGACATTCGCTGAGACTGTAGCTTTGAAATTATAGTTTTTAAATATTATTTAGGCCTAAACCTCTTTTCTGAGGAGAAGCCTATGTCCAGCATTGGACTGTTAAAGGCTGTTGATGTGTGATGTAAAATATTATTTAATAGTAATGAAGATTTCATATTACCAAATCACGTTCTACTAGAATATGATATGTGAACATAACAACTTATTTTTGTACCTACCTTAGTTATTTCTATTGTTACAAAGACTGAACAATAGTGATGAGCCGGAAATCCGTTTTGACGGATCTTGGACGGATCTTTTACATTATTGTGTTAACTAAAATGAAGTGTTTGTATATTTAATGGAGTGAGGCACTAAGCACTTAAATTAATAAATAAAAATAATAATAATCTCACACATTTCACACACGGCCGTCTGATCCCAAACTAGCCAGAGCCTGTACTATGGTAACCAGACTGCTGATAAACATACTTATATATTTCTAATTACATGCATAATATAGATAATTTACACCCAGACACAACAAATGATCGTGTTCATTGTCATGGGTGGGAATCGAACCCACGACCTCCGGACGTGTAACGGACTGCTACGCCAAAGGTAGCGGGTTCGATTCTCGCTCAAGTCAAACATTTGTGTGCATGAACATTGAATGTTTAATTTGAGCCGATCAAATGTTTCTATGTATAATATTTATGTATTTACAAAAAAAAGTATATATGTACTGTTAAACTAATGGTACTGTGTAAATAAACAGTTGAAATTGTACAAGCTCTGCCTAGTTTGGGACTAGATGGCGTTGTGTGAATGTGGTAGAACATTATTATTCGATTACGTTTATAATGAGATCAAAGTTCTTTTATAATATGTGTATAAACTAATTAATATGTCATGTTATTTACTGCTCAAAGTTAACCATAGGTCTTTGTCTTTTCTTTTTTTAAGACAACTCCCGCTCAGGCCCAGCCCCCGCGATACAGGAACTTTATAAATATTTATGAAACAGACCCAAAGAACACCCAGACTCGGAACAACAATTTGTGGAACACACAAGGTGATCTCCCATGTGTCGCAGTAAAAAGCGGCTGGGTGACCGCTTAGACCACTACGCCATCCATGTGGTCAAGGTCACCCTTTTCGAGACTCTCGAGGTTGAAAACTTGAGGTTTGTATCCATATTGTTTTTTTTTATTATCTTTATTTTTAAAGGGTGCAAACGAGCCAATTATTAGCGTCTTGATCTGAATTCCCAGGTAGTCCCGGACACTAATAGTCCGTATTTGTATCCGTATTTTTGGAAATCTATTTTATTAACTACGTGGCACATCACTACTTAATTCTGCATATTAATATGGTTTGAAACCCGTTAGTGCTTGACGCATGTCTTAGTAAGCACACTATGTATTCTGACCATCCTGGTGAAAGCCGTTTTAGGATGACCCATTCACCTTTGTTATCATTCATCTTACGAACCAATTCGGCATATGATTAAGATCATATAAAATTTAAAAAATCAACAACCCGACTGCAAAAAGACAATCTAAAAGTAATGCACTAAAAAAAACGAAACAGCACGAGTTCCGACACAAACATGGCCCAATTTAAGCAATCTAAAACTTTTTAAACCAATTTATTATTCTTTAACCAATTTATTAAATTTTCTTGATATTGATACACTCGATAAGTTTTCTTTAATTCACCTGTTATTATTTTGCGCAATTTTGTTCTTATTTTTCTTTCAAAAAGCCCTCTAAGGACACTTGGATTTTTGAGCAGGTTAAAACAATACCGTAACTGTCCAAATCCCCTTTTTTTTCCGTTCGGAAATCCCCTCGGATACCACCTCCGACTAAAACCGCACGCCGTCTCGGGTACTAATAGCTGGGGAACCAGGTATACCCTAGAAAGGATGTCCCTGGTGCAGTGTAAGATACAAGGTAATAAAGAAATTTACAAACAAACATACAAGATACGCGTTAAAAAATTTAACCCTTCCTTAGCAGTCGGGTAAAAAGGAACTTGTATCAAACCTGGGACCATGGGATTCAATGGAAATAGCAATTGGGATCCATCGTTACCACCTAAATAATCGTATATTAGACCAGGATCTAACTAAAATAAATCCTTTTATGTAACTGCGTGAGAAAGGCGCAGAGTACAAAACGCCGGATCCGTGTGGGTTGATCTCTAAGAACAGGAGTGGGCCTTTAAACGAGTTATAACTATTAGTGTAATGAGATGTTTCCGATGTTGAACACAATGAACTGTACCGAAGTTGCACCATCTTCCACTATCATTCAGACAGTTATACAACAATAGATGTAAATGTTAAATCAAGACATATGTATTAATAAGATAAAAGGGATAAATCTGATTTAAAATGGACAACTCAACTTTCTATAGAGTTTTATTAGTTACAACAGAATTGTTATAACTATTTACATATTAAGAAAAACTAAAAATGTCACGCACGCAAATACTTGTATTTTAGTACTTGTTTTCTTTTAATTGGTATTTCTAGTTTCCTATTTTATTTATAGTTTTAATGATTCTCTCAAGTTACAAATATTACATACCTACAGCCCAAACGATACAGCGATACAGATAACGATACAGTCCCAACGCCCAACGGAAGTCTTATTAGGTATATATAACTCATCAGAGCTGTGGTATCATCATCATCATCATCAACAGGCTTAAATAGTCCACTGCTGGACATAGACCTCTCCTTAGAGAGGAGGTTTTGGCCTACTATACCACGCTGGCCAGACGGGTTGGTATAGGGCTTGTTTCAAGTTTTCCTTCTTTTTGCGGTGCTGTTGTCCTGCGTAGTTTGCTCCCTTAGACGGCTCTTACGACACCCACGGGATAAATAGGGGTGGAGACATTCCGTATTCTTAATTTGTCACCACACGGACCAATTTACATTGAATTATGTAAATTTATATTAGGCGATACTGACTTGGAATGAAAAGTAATATCAATTCAAAGAAACACGCTATCGTAACATTTTCTCGCACGTGTCCCGCAGATATAATCAACTTATACATCATTGACAGACAATGCTTGTAAGAATGCTAACTTTAGATTCACTGTAAACCCTGTTATCGACATGTGAACTAAATATAATAAAGTTATTATTCAGACATTTAATCACCATATGTCTTAATCGTTATTCTTTTAAAAATTCGCATCTCTACCGCTGTTGTATTAATCGAAAATACAAATACACTCCGTCGAATAATCATCACATCACGTCAACAGCCTTAAATAGTCCTCTGCTGGACATAGGCTACTCCTTAGAAAGGAGGTTTAAGCCTACTGTTTAGTCGAATAATCTATACTAATATTATAAAGTTAAAGAGTTTGTTTGTTTGAACGCGCTAATCTCAGGAACTACTGGTCCGATTTGAAAAATTATTTCAGTGTTAGATAGACCATTTATCGAGGAAGGCTATGGGCTATATATCATCACGCTAAGACCAATAGGAGCGGAGCACCAATGAAGAATGTTTCAAAAACGTAGAAAATTTATTACTATTGAGAGACGCAGACGAAGTTGCGCGGGTCAGCTAGTAAAAATATATTTCTAAACCCACTTATGTGGTTCAACTGTGAATCAGAACTATTTATGGACCTATTCAAACACACACAATGAAATTCGATCCAGAATGGTCTAGGAGTCCAGTGACGTGCACACGTCTAAACGAATTTTATATAATAAAAGAGCAGATGGATCACTTGAAGTGACTACCGCCGTCCATGATGGCCCTCAGAATCAGGGGTAGAGGGGGGAGGGACTCTTCTCTGGTAGTCTCACTCACTCGTCTCATAGGGGAATCAAAGGGTTACAGCGCACTTGGTACTTTTCAGTTACAAGTGTCCATGTGTCGGTAATTGTTTTTTCCTATCTTATATGTTAAACGATAAAATATATTATTTTGTTTGTTGTTCAAAAATGCCCAGCGCGCCTAAAGAAATTTTTACTTCAAAAAACACGAAGGACATTCATTCCTATTTCCACGTTAGCTTCTAAATGCAAGATATAATATGGATGTATATGGTATCGCCAGAACCGCTACATCATCCCGACTTAATTCAAATATACGGAACAGTTAAATTAAATAAAATACTAAGAATTAAATTCAGTAATTAGTCTTTTGGCATGGCAGTTGTCATTTTTAACTTGTAAATGTTTGCTTGGAACCTTAATAAACAGAATATTCAAACAAGCTAATTATTGAAAAAACTCGACTACTTTAAAATTACAAACCAGTTATTTTAATTTGGATAATTTTTATATACCAAGTGTCATTCTTACAATTAAGACGAACATACATACATAATCCATCCGGCGCAGTTGCATTAAAAGTAACTAGTTTTCGATAATATTTTATTTTTTATCTGTTTGAGATATTTACAGCCAGCATTTTAAAAAACATAAAACATAATCCATTGACACCTGATGGCCGTTCACAAATATCCGCTTTTAGAAGTACCTACATGTGTAGTATCAAATTGGAAGTCAGTATACTAAGATAAAGAACTAGCACTTGCAGTCAATCGGAAAAGTTTCTTAGCTAAAATGTTTTTAAGTTTAGAAACAATAATATTTAATATATTGTTTACCCGCGCGTATTAAAAACAAAATTTTGTCTATACCAGTATGTACTCTTTAGTCAAAACTTTATAATTGTACATTTATGTTACAGCATTGATTTTTTTTATGGATTGTTTTATGTTTCTTTTATATAACGACAATTATTCCTGAGAAAAAATCCCGATAACTAAAATACTACAAAATTATTTTTTGTAATCTTCGTTTTATGTCATTTTCATTAAGGTCATGGTTTCTCAGTGACCTACGAATCGTTAACCTCCACAGTTTTACAAATGAATCGCAGTTAAAAAACTGTTCAAATTGAGGACAAAAAAAGCAAGATCTTCGTATGTTGATAATACAAAGAGATATAAGGAAAAACATAAAATTCCTTTGTCATCCTCTTGGTACATTTCATGAATGTGATAAGTTTATTGTAAATAGTGTAGTGGAGGACTTCCACTTACTTTAACCTTAGATTAAGGTCAGTAGCATAGAAAGACTTTAATTAGGATAGACAAAATAAATAAAATAATCTAAGGACAAATTCACTTTAATTTTGTTTACCATATGTCGTCATTTTATACTCGTAATGCTATAGCGATAACTCAAACTTAAAATATCTTTATTTCTTTTAATTCTTTATATGTGTAGATAAACGACGATTTCAAACAATTAAAAAAAATGAAATAAAGATAATTTGAGCTCAATCCCTTGGAAACAGTCGGTTGTAGATCGGTACAGGCATATCATAGATTCCTCCACTTACAGGCGCAGAGTGGCATACCGTGTGGTTTTAGTCGGTCCGATTCCAACACACCACCCCGCCGTAAACCCCGGTGGGATGACGGCCCGATGGGGTTTCCACACGTAACAAAAAAGGCATACCCTAGATTTTGTATAAGTACAATTTTTATTAAATTAATTTGCTTACTGTTTGACAAAACAGAGATTATTGCTATTGTGTGTACTGATCTATGACTTTAGAGTGTATACTGTAAAGTTATAACAAAACACAACAAAGAGTTTAGCTTGATCCTTATGTTAACTATTATAGTATCTGTCTAAGTTGTGTAAATTGTAATTTGGGACTAGTCCCTCCCACACGCCCACCACTTTAACCCCTATCACCAGGATCAACAGCAGTGACCCACGAACACACCGAGTTATGACACTCGGTAAGTCCCAGTTACCCCCTACTCTTCCCACGATGTTTATGGGGGGGAGGGACTCAAAGAGCTGTGACTCCTGAGTTGCAGGTGTCCTTATGCGGATTTAGTCACTTAAGATCAGGTGCTCCGTTTGCTCGTTTACCCCCGTATGCCATAAAAAATTAACACTACTGTATCTGCATTTTAAATAGTTTGACCTTCTTGTACAGTATCCCTAGATGCATGTTGCACACAATGTTAATACAGGCCGGATGCCGTTAATCACCAGCTAATTTTGCTGACAATGGCTCTGAGAAGCACCAGCCTGTTATTCCGGAACTGCTTACATCAACACACTAGTTCATACGTCATACCAATTATTGGTTTGAAGAATATACCACATTGGACGCAAAACGGAAATGAAAATTCTTGTAAAACTGTCATCACAATAGACTTGTTTTAAATACGGAATATTTTTCTGTCGAGTACAGTAAGAGCTAAATTATGATAGTATGTTATCACTTAATAACTTAACACATCTTACACACGACCGTCTGATCCCAAACTAAGCAGAGTCTGAACTATGGTAACCAGACTGCAGATAAACATACTTATGTTTTTCTAAATTCATACCATTTATAGATAAATTACACCCGGACACAGAAGAAATGATTATTCTCAACACACAATCATTTGTCATCATCATCATGAAC